GTCATACGATCTATGCCTTTTTGTGGCTGGCTTCTTTCATTTAGCATACATCCTCAGTTCATCTACAACGTAGTGTGTACCAGAATTTCCCTCTGTTTTGCAGCTGAATAGTATTCCATTGTATGGATAAACCACATTTCGTTTATCCACTAATCAGCTGATAGACACTGGGACTGTTATCATCTTTGGGCTGTTATGAACAATGCTCATGTAGAGGCATCTGTTTGAGTCCCTGTTTGGAAATCTTTTTTTTTTGAGACAGGGTCTTGCTCTGTCCCCCAGGCTGGAATGCAGTGGCACAATCTCGGCTCATTGCAACCTCTGCCTCTGGGGTTCAAGCGATTCTCCTGCCTCAGCCTCCCAAGTAACTGGGACTATAGGCGCCCCCCATGCCCAGGTAATTTTTTTGTTTTTAGTAGAGACGGGGTTTCACCATGTTGGCCAGGATGGTCTCAAACTCCTGACCTCAGGGGATCCACCCGCCTTGGCCTCCCAAAGTGCTGGGATTACAGGTCTGAGCCACTGCGCCCAGCCCCAAGTTTATTTTTACTAAAGAGATTTCCATCATTTTTTTTTTTTAAATAGAAATACAAAGTAAGGCCGGGCGCGGTGGCTCAAGCCTGTAATCCCAGCACTTTGGGAGGCCGAGACGGGCGGATCACGAGGTCAGGAGATCGAGACCATCCTGGCTAACACAGTGAAACCCGGTCTCTACTAAAAAATACAAAAAACTAGCCGGGCGAGGTGGCAGGCGCCTGTAGTCCCAGCTACTCGGGAGGCTGAGGCAGGAGAATGGCGCAAACCCGGGAGGCGGAGCTTGCAGTGAGCTGAGATCCGGCCACTGCACTCCAGCCTGGGCGACAGCGCGAACTCCCTCTCAAAAAAAAAAAAAAAAAAAAAAAAAAAGAAATACAAAGTAAAAGTGCTTTGTTGTGGCTGATGGTGATGAGGTTTAGGAAGTCTTTCTTCCTTCCCCACTTCCTCCTTCACCTCTCTCTCTCTCTCTCTCTCTCTCTCGCTCTCGCTCTCTCTCTCAGGTTAGGAGATAAGGAAGCCTACTTATCCGTCTAGAAGATGAGCCAGTGGGGGGGTGTCCTAGTTCAGGCGCTATGACAAAATACCTTAAACTGGGTAATTTATAAACAGCAGAAATTTATTTGTTGCTCACAGTTCTGGAGGCTGGGAAGTCCAATATCAAAGGCAGCAGCAGATTTGTGGTCTAGTGAAGGCCTGTTCCTCATGGATGGCACCTTCCCCATGTCCCCACTTGATGGGAGGGTAAAAGGCACAAACTCGCTCCTCAAACCCTTTTATAAGGACACTGATCCGATCCATGACCCAATCACCTCCCAGAGGCCCCACCTATCAACACCATCATCTTGGAGATTACATTTCAGCCTGGGGATGTGTGAGGGGCCACGACATTCAGACGACCACAGCGGGAGGGACACGGAGGGTGCTGCTGGGGGACTGCATGGAAGGGGCACCATCTTTGTGGAGTTGGGATTCAAAGCCCAGGAGGAGGCAGAAGATGAGGCAGATGCGGCTGCTGCGGGCTGGGAAGATGAGGACGTCTGGCCTCTCAAGGAAGCCCCTGGGATGTTGTGGGCTGACACAGTGAGTTGCAGAGCGGGAAGATAAGGGGAGAGAAGGGTTAAAAGGGGTGTTTGTGTGTTTGTTTTTTTGTTTGTTTTTTGAGACGGAGTTTTGCTCTTGTCCCCCAGGCTTGAGTGCAATGGTGCGATCTCGGCTCACTGCAACCTCCGACTCCTGGGTTCAAGTGATTCTTGTGCCTCAGCCTCCCAAGTAGCTGGGATTACAGGCACACACCAACACATCAAGCTAATTTTTGTATGTTTAGTAGAGACAGGGTTTTGCCATGTTGGCCAGGCTGGTCTCGAACTCCTGACGTCAGGTGATCCGCCTGCCTCCACCTCCCAAAGTGCTGGGATTACAGGCGTGAGCCACCCCACTCAGCCTAAAAGGGACATCTTGAGGGGGAAGTGGAGCCAATGAGAGAAACAGGTGGAGTGGAGGCCTGTATTGGAGGTTCCCCTGCTGTGGGATTTTTCCAGCAGTTCAGTTGCTACAGGGCAGAGGCTGGAAAGACAGGGCGCTGGGATCTTCCCAGGTGAGAAGATGGAGGGAAATAGGGGCCAGCAAAGGACGGGCTGCAGGGGAGTGAGAGAATGGGGGTTGGGGATAGGCCCGGGCTCCATGGACCAGGATCGCTTCGGGGAGACCCCTGCACGGCTCCTCCTTCCCTTCTGCAACCAGGAGCCAGCTACCGCCCCCTCCCCATCTCCTGCCCCTCCTCACCTACTGTTTCCTTCCTCTCTCCCAAAGTGCTGGGATTACAGGCGTGAGCCGCCGCGCCCAGCCAGGACACTTCTTCTCTGCCCTCGGTTTCTGTACGGCTCCCAGTCCAGGTCTTCCTTCTTCCTCCCTGAATTTCTCTAGTCCCTTTCACAGGCTCCTGCACTGCCCCCTCCTTTTATGCCACCATCCCCCAGGTGGGAAGGTGGTGGGAAAAGGCCACCTTCCCTCGCCTTTTCTCTCCTCATTTCACAGCCTTTCCCAGGCCTTCCCCTGCTCAGCCAGTAATGTGTCTCCCAAACTCCTCACTCTCCGTATTTCAGGCAGAACAGTTGTCCAACAGAGGTTCTCAGTGTAGCCTCCATCAGAATCACACGGAGGATGAGTTCAGACTCAGGGGACTGGGCCCAATCCCCAGGGCTTCAGTAGGTCTGGAGTGGCTATAAGTGTAAGAATTTTTTTTTTTTTTTTGGAGACAGGCTCTCGTTATGTTGCCCAGGCTGGTCTCAAACCCCTAGTTCAGTCGATCAGCCCGCCTCAGCCACCCAAAGTGCTGGGATTACAAGAGTGAGCCACGGAGTCCAGCCAAGATAATTTTTTTTTAATTTTTTTTTACGTTCAAAAAAATTGTTTACTCATTAGGTTAATTTTGCAATTAAATTGCAAAAACCTCAATTACTTTTCCACCGACCTAATAGCTCGCCTACTGTAAGTAAAGCAGATAAAGTCAGCCTTTTTCTTCTGGGACCAGACTCTGCTCTGCCCCCCGGTGGTGGCCTCAGGCGCAGCGCTAAAACGCATGAACCATTTAAGGTATTTCCTGAAACTGGAGCGTGATTGGGGAGGCTTTATTTGCATACCCACAATGCATTGTGCACCAAATAATGTTCGTCTTTAAAATTACTATCCCCTTTTTCCTTCAACGTATCTTTCCCGACACCTAGATTGCTGTTCAGAATTGTCTGAAGAAAAAGGCAGAAGTCAATGGCTCTTTTGGACGGAGAGAAAGTTACCATTAGCCTGTTGGGAGTAGTCGTTACCTGAGAACTGAGTGTCGCGCGTATTGGATTATACTCTGGTTTCTCTTCAGATCGTATAAATCTTTCGCCTTTTACTAAAGATTTCCGTGGAGAGGAACAACTCTGAGTTTTAAACCAATTTTTTGAGGCCTTGCGTTTTTAGCAGGGCTCACTTTTGTGTTGTTGAAAAGCAGACTTTTATGTAAGTGTTTTAGTGTGGGTTCGTTAATATCGTAAAGTGCGTGAATACGAACGCGGATTTTCAGGCGTTTCGAGAGGTTCACTTTGTTAGGATAGGCGTTAGTAGTTCTATTGCACTTCGGGCAGTTGCTACCATGACATGTTGGGGTGGCTTACTGCTTTTGACCAAGGAACAGCTTGTTGGTTGATTACAGCAGGGGTTTTTAACCCCGCTCACTCACCGACAGAGGGTTACCGGCTAGCAAGCACTACCGCCTGACCTCCCCATCTTGTCAGCTTAGTAGGGCATCAGATTCTCCTAGGAGCAGGAACCCTATTGTGAACTGCGCATACGGGGGATCTAGGTGCGTACTCCTTATGAGAGTCTAATGGCTGATGACTTGAGGGGGACAGTTTCAACCTGAAACTGTCCACGTCGCGTACCCACCCTTCCCCTGCCCTTGGAAAAACTGTCTTCCACGAACTGGGTCCTTTGTGCCAGAAAGGTTGGGGACCGCTGGACTATCCGATCAAATGAAGCAGGGGCTCTGGGCGAGCTCCCCCGCTGCTCCCACCGGCTTCTCCGTGTAGAAGAAGGCAGCCCCGAGCTCTTCTACCCAGTATCCCCGCCTGAGGAGCGGTGCCCGGCGCGCAGCTAGTCCTCCCGACACCCAACCGGTTTCATGAAACGCAAGAGAAAGTGAATTTTCCAGCCACTCCCATTGGCTAGAATTCGTCTCAACCGCAAGGGAGGCTGGGAAATGTAGTCATGCCTCCAGGTAGCCGTGAGCCCTGCTAGTGATGGGAGATTCTAGGGAGAGGCTGAGTACTGGGGAGGGAAAACTAGCAGGGTCTGTCGCGGTAAAGGAGAGAGGAAATCCATCGCAAAAAATCCTGATCCCCAGGCCGGGCGCGGTGGCTCACGCCTGTAATCCCTGCACTTTGGGAGGCCGAGGCAGGCGGATCACCTAAGCTCAGGAGTTCGAGACTGGCCTGGCCAACATGGAGAAACCCCGTCTGTACTAAAAATACAAAAATTAGCCGGGAAATTAGCTGTAATCCCAGCTACTCGGGAGGCTGAGAATCGCTTGAACCTGCAAGGCGGAGGTTGCAGTGAACCGAAGTCGCGCCATTGCCTGAGCGACAGAGCGCGACAGAGCGAGACTCTATCTCAAAAAAACAAAACAAAACAAAACAAAAATTCTGACCCGAGGCTCAGGCTCTGAAGCAGGCTCAGGCCCTAAAGCAGTCGCCCACAGCCCCTCCCGCCCCCCCCCCCCCCCCCCCCCCCCGCTCCAAGCCCCATTCAAGCTACGTAGGAGGGTAATTGTCCTTTTCCCCCAACATCAGCTGCTCCTCCAAAAGCCAGCTCTGATCCTCCAAAATTAAACACTGGAGTCTTGAGTTTGTTTTTTGTTTCAGAATATAGAAGAACCCTCATAACAGCTTTTCTAGTGCATCTACTTTTAACACTGCTCAAACAAGCCGCGCTAAGAAATGCAAGGTGTCAGAAAAAATTAGCTTAAAACTCACAGTTGCTTTTCTCCACAGAAATCTTTAGTAAAAGGCAAAAAATTCATGTGATTTGAAGAGAAACTAGTGTAGGGTGTCATGGGCAGCACTCAGTGCTCAGGTAAGGACTACTACCAATGGGCTAATGGTAACTTTCTTTCTGCCCAAAAGAGCTATTGACTTCTGCTTTTTTCTTCAGACAGTTCTGGAACAGCAATCTCAGTTTCAGGAAAGATAGATTGAAGGAAAAAAGGGATCTACTAATTTTAAAGATGAAAATTAGTTGGTGCACATGCATTGTGGGTATGCAAATAAAGTCTCAGCAATCAAGCTCCAGTTTTGACAAACTGGTGAAGCCTAGGGACTCCTCAAAAAAAGGTTTTCTGTTGTTTTCATTTTGTCTTAAATTTTTGATTTTTAATGTTTGTGGGTACATAGTATGTGTATGTATGGGTTACATGACAAGAGAAAGGTTTTGTTTGTTTTGAGATGGAGTCTTGCTCTTGTCACCCAGGCTGGAGTGCTGTGGTATGATCTGGGCTCACTGCAACCTCTGCCTTCCCGGTTCAAGCAATTCTCCTGTCTCAGCCTTCCAAGTAGCTGGGATTACAGGTGCCCGCCACCACATCTGGCTAATTTTTGTATTTTTAGTAGAGATGGGGTTTCGCCATGATGGCCAGGCTGGCCTCGAACTCCTGACCTCAGGTGATCTGCCCACCTTGGCCTCCCAAAGTGCTGGGATTACAGGCGTGAGCCACTGCGCCGGCCCCTGGGAATGCTGTATAGTTGTCTCTTCCCAAGGTTTTATTCTGAGAGAAGCCTCAGCCTTTCTCACGAGCAAACTTGCCCAGCGTTGCTGTCTCCTGGGACAGCCACAGAGCAGTCACGCTGGTCCCCGGCCTGGGTTTTCAGAGCTCTCCTCCACGTGTGTGTTAGTCAGGGTTCTCTAGAGGGACAGGACTAATAGGATCTACGTATATATGAGAGGGGCTTTATTAAGGAGAATTGACACATGATCACAAGGTCAAGTCCCATGATAGGCCATCTGCAAGCTGAGGAGCAAGGAAGCCAGCAGTGGCTCAGTTCAGTCCCAAAACCTTAAAAGTAGGGAGCTGACAGTGCAGCCTTCAATCTGTGGCCGAAGGCCTGAGAGCCCCCAGCAAACCACTGGTGTAAGTCCAAGAGTCCAAAAGCCAAAGAACTTGGAGTCTGATGTTCAAGGGCAGGAAGTCTCCAGCACGGGAGAAAGATGAAGCCCAGAGGACCCAGTGAATCGGCTTTTTCCAGCTTCTTCTGCCTGCTTTTTCTAGCTGTGCTGGCAGCTGACTGAATGATGTCCCTTACATTGTGAGTGGGTCTTCCTGTCCCAGTCCACTGACTCAAATGTTAATCTATTCTGGCCACACCCAGAAACACCCAGATACACCCAGAAACAATACTTTGCATCCTTCCATGCAATCAAGTTGACCCTTTTTTTTTTGAGATGAAGTTTCTCTCTGTCACCCCAGGCTGCAGTGCAATGACACGATCTCGGCTCACTGCAACCTCTGTCTCCTAGGTTCAAGCGATTCTCTTGCGTCAGCTTCCCAAGTAGCTGGGATTACAGGTGCCCGCAACCACACCCGTCTAATTTTTTGTATTTTTAGTAGAGACGGGGTTCACCATGTTGGCCAGGCCAGTGTTGAGCTCCTGATCTCAAGTGATCCACCCGCCTCGGCCTCCCAAAGTGCTGGGATTACAGGCGTGGGCTACTGCACCTGGCCAAGTTGACACTTAATGTTAACCATCACAAGCTGTTAGCAGAGGTAATGATTAACCCACCAGTGGCTGGGGGTACATCCTGCAAGGGTGCCACCACCCAACTCCATGAATGACCTCTCTTTGACCTTGTGCAAGTCACTGTTTTTCACCAGGTCTCAATTTGCACTTTGTAAAACCGTTCTTCGGTTTTCAGCGTAACTGTAGACTGGCTAAAATTACGACAGTAATAAGGAGAGAAGGGATACGTCCATGGAAGGAATGATGATCTCTAATGTCACTGTTGCTGTGAATTAGGGCCGGAGCCCACCCTTTGTCCCTAGAAGTCAGTGATGTGGGCAAAGAAATCCAATTCTTGGGTGGGTGCAGTGGCTCACACCTGTAATCCAACACTTTGGGAGGCCAAGGCGGGAGGATCGCGTGAGCCCAGGAGTTTGAGGCCAGCCCGGGCAACATGGCAAGGCCCCACTTCTACCGAACATTTTTTAAAAATTAGCCGGGGCGGGGGAGGGGGGAGGGATTGCATTGGGAGTTATACCTGATGTAAATGACGAGTTGATGGGTGCTGACGAGTTGATGGGTGCAGCACAGCAACATGGCACAAGTATACATACGTAACAAACCTGCACGTTATGCACATGTACCCTAGAACTTAAAGTATAAAAAAAAAAAAAGAAACCTTAAATTAAAAAAAAAAAAAAAAAAAAAATTAGCCGGGTGTGGTAGCATGCACTTGTGGTCCCAGCTACTCAGGAGGCTGAGGTGGGAGGATCACTTGAGCCCAAGAGCTCGAGGCTGCAGTAAGCCATGATTGTACCACTGCACTCCAGCCTGGGAGACAAAGGGAGACCCTGTTTCAAAATAATGGCTCCCTGGCTTCCCTACACCCACCCACCTCTGTGCATTCATTCACTCAGGCTCTCCACTGCTTAGCTTGGCTGACTCCCGTCATCTTTCAGTTTCCAGATTAGAGGTTTCACCTTCCTTCAGGAAGACCTCCCTGACTTTCAAGGACAGGTTAGATGTCCCTGCCCCATAGTCCCACAGCCCTGACTGCAGTATCATCATTCAATTTCTCATCTGTAGGGTCCAGCCCTACGGGGCTTGGTGGGTGTTCTCCCCGTGTGCAGAGACGAGAGATCGTAAGAAATAAAGACACAAGACAAAGAAATAAATAGAAAACAGCTGGGCCTGGGAGACCACTGCCACTAAGACAGGGAGACCGGCAGTGGCCCCGAATGGCTGGGCGTGCTGATATTTATTGTATACAAGACAAGGGGCAGGCAGGGTAAGGAGGGTGAGTCATCCAAGTGATTGATAAGGTCAAGCAAGTCATGTGATCCTGGGGCAGTGGGCCCTTCCCTTTTAGGTAGCCGAAGCAGAAAGGGAAGGCAGCATACGTCAGTGTTTTTCTTCTATGCACTTATCAGAAAGATCAAAGACTTTAAGACTTTCACTATTTATTCTACCACTATCTTCTAAGAACTTCAAAGAGGAACCAGGAGTACGGGAGGAACATGGAAGTGGACAAGGAGCGTAACCATTGAAGCACAGCACCACAGGGAGGGGTTTAGGCCTCCGGATGACTGCGGGCAGGCCTGGATAATATCCAGCCTCCCACAAGAAGCTGGTGGAGCAGAGTGTTCCCTGACTCCTCCAAGGAAAGGAGACTCCCTTTCCCGGTCTGCTAAGTAATGGGTATCTTCCCAGACACTGGCGTTACCTCTTGACCAAGGAGCCCTCAAGCGGCCCTTATGCGGGCGTGACAGAGGGCTCACCTCTTGCCTTCTTGGTCACTTCTCACGATGTCCCTTCAGCACCTGACCCTATACCCACCAGTTATTCCTTGGTTATACAACAAAGAGTAATATTAAAAGCTAATGATTAATATTGTTCATACTAATGATTTATAATGTCCATGATCATCTCTATATCTAATTTGTATTATAACTATTCTAACTATTTTCTTTACTATCCTGAAACAGTTTGTGCCTTCAGTCTCTTGCCTCGGCACCTGGGTAATCCTCCGTCGACACTCGTCTGTCTCTCCTGCAGGCTGCATTCGCTGAGGTGCGTCTGTGTTGCTCCCCTTTGTGTTCCAGTCAAAAAAGATTCCTAGAGAGGATTTGCTCTCACACCAGGGCTAAGCTCCCCACACCAGTTTAACGAGCCTGGAAGTAAGTGCCGTCCACCAATGTCCCACCTGCTCTTCGGAGGCTCCTCAAGCCTTCCCTGCCCAGAGAGATTCTGGGATGGAAAGGAAAAATTGTCCCTGCCTGGCAGAAATTGATGCTACTTCTGGAGAGGTAAGCCACAGCTCTTTGGGTAGGAAAGCTGAGGTTTTGTGTTTTTTTTTTGTTTTTGTTTTGTTTTGTTTTGATATAGGATCTTACTCTGTCACATAGGCTGGAGTACAGTGGTGTGATCTTGACTCACTGCAACCTCCACCTCCTGGACTCAAGCGATCCTCCCACCTTAGCCTCCCAAGTAACTGGAATCACAGGTGCTCGCCACCATCATGCTCAGCTCATTTTAAAAATTTTCTGTAGAGACAAGGTCTCACTATATCACTCAGGCTGGTCTGGAAGTTTTGGGCTCAAGAGATCCTCCTGTCTCGGCCTCCCGAAGTGCTGGGATTATAGATGTGAGCCACTGTGCTCGGTCAGAAGCTGGTTACTCCTCACCAGAAATACCCTAAGATTTATTTGGCCAGGCACGGTGGCTCATGCCTGTAATCCCAGCACTTTGGGAGGCTGAGGTGGGCGGATCGCTTGAGTTCAGGAGTTTGAGACCAGCCTGGGCAACATGGTGAAACCCTGTCTCTACAAAATATACAAAAAAAAATTAGCCAGGTGTGGTGGCTTGTGCCTATAGTCCCAACTGCTCAGGAGGCTGAGGTGGGAGGGTTTCTTGAGCCCATGAGGTTGAGGCCGCAGTGAGCTGTGATTACACCACTGCACTCCAGCCTGGGCGACAGAGCGAGACCTTGACTAAAGGAAAAAAAAAAAAAAAGCATCCGCAGTCCTATGACTCTCTGTATTCTTGGTTTGTTATCACCAGAGAAGAGTTCCATTTCTCCGCTGGAAAGTTATGCCCGTATTGGTCTATTCCGGCTGCTCTAACAATATACCATAGTCTGGGCAGCTTCAAAACAGCAGAAATTGATTTCTCCCAGTTCCAGAGGCTGAAGTTTGAAATCACAGTGCCAGCATGGTTGGGTTCTATTGAGGCCCCTCTTTCCGGTTGCAGACTGCTGTCTTCTCGTTGCATTCTCACATGGTGGAAAGAGGGTGAGGCAGCTCTGTGGGGCCCCCTTAGAAGGGCCCTAATCTCATTCATGAGGACTCTACCCTCATGAACTAAGAACCCCTCCGAAAGTGCCGCCTCCTAATCCTATCACATTGGAAGTTAGAACATCATTGCAGGGGCCTGGTATGGTGGCTCATGTCTGTCATCCCAGCACTCTGGGAGGCTGAGGCAGGTGGATCATTTGAGCTCAGGAGTTTGAAACCAGCCTGGGCAACATGGCAAAGCCCCATCTCTACAAAAAAATACAAAAACTGGCCAGGTGTGGTGGTGCACACCTGTAGTCCCAGGTACTTGGGGGAGCTGAGATAGGAGGATTGCCTGGGCCCAGGAGGTTGAGGCTGCAGTGAGCCATGTTCATGTCACTGCACTCCCTCCTGGGTGCACTCACAGTTCTCAAAAAAAAAAAAAAAAAAGATTTCAACATAGACATTTAAGGAGGGGACACAATTCAGCAAATGTCAGTGGACATGGAGAATCCCACATCCTCCTGGAAAAATCGTCCAGAGGAGCCACAGGCCTCTTGATTAGTGTCTTAGCCTGGGTCTCCTACCAAGGGCTTGATCTTGTGGGGACCTTCTGTTTTAGTCCATGTTATGTTGCTATAACAGAATACCTAGGGCTGGGTAATTTATAAAGAAAAGAGGTTTTTTTGTTTTTGTTTTTTGAGACGGAGTGTTGTTCTGTTGCCAGGCTGGAGTACAGTGGCATGATCTTGGCTCACTGCAACCTTCGACTCCCTGGTTCAAGCAATTCTCCTGCCTCCGTCTCCCATGTAGCTGGGATTTACAGGCACGCACCACCATACCCAGCTAATTTTTTTTTTTTTTTTTTTTTTTGAGACAGAGTCTCGCTCTGTCGCCCAGGCTGGAGTGCAATCTCAGCTCACTGCAAGCTCTGCCTCCCGAGTTCACGCCATTCTTCTGCCTCAGCCTCCCGAGTAGTGGGGACTACAGGCGGCCGCCACCACACTCGGCTAATTTTTTTGTATTTTTAGTAGAGACAGGGTTTCACTGAGTTAGCCAGGATGGTCTTGATCTCCTGACCTCGTGATCTGCCCTCCTCGGCCTCCCAAAGTGCTGGGATTACAGGCATGAGCCACTGCATCTGGCCAATTTTTTTTTTTTTTTTTTGAGAAGGAGTCTCGCTCTGTCGCCCAGGCTGGAGTACAGTGGCCGGATCTCAGCTCACTGCAAGCTCCGCCTCCCGGGTTCACGCCATTCTCCTGCCTCAGCCTCCGGAGTAGCTGGGACTACAGGCGCCCGCCACCTCGCCCGGCTAGTTTTTTTGTATTTTTTTAGTAGAGACGGGGTTTCACTGTGTTAGGCATCTGGCCAATTTTTGTATTTTCAGTAGAGAAAAGGTTTCACCATGTTGGCCAGGATGGTCTCGATCTCCTGACCTCGTGATCCACCTGCCTTCGCCTCCCAAAGTCCTGGGATTACAGGTGTGAGCCGCTGCGCCAGTCAAGAAAAGAGGTTTATGTAGCTCATGGCTCTGCAGACTGAGAAGTTCGAGGGCATGGTGCCAGCATCTGCCTGGCTTCTTTGCTGCCTCAGCATGGTGGAGAAGGCTGAAGAGGAAGCAGACACGTGTAAAGAAGCAAACCCGAGGGGCTTCCTGGTTTTATAACAACCTGCTCTCCTGGGAACTAATCCATTCCCACAAGAGGAAGAACTCACTCACTCCGGAGAGAGGGTGCCAACCCCTCCGGGAGGGATCCACTCGTGTGACCCAAACACCTCCCACAAAGCCCCGCCTCCCAACACTGCCACACTGAAGGCCAAATGTCAACAAACCATATCCAAACCGTAGCACCTTCTGAGAAGCCGAATAAAGTATGCCTCAGAACTGTCCACGCCAGGGACAGAAGAGGACAGCTTGTGTCTACTGGCTCCATGTCCCATGGGTGAAGCGTGGCCCTAAATGGTGTTACCATTCACATGCTTCAAGGCTACATATGCCTGAGTGCCTGGCAGCTTCCTAAAGATGACAGAGGCTGATGCTGGGTGCTGCCAGGACACTCATACCCGTGCAGAGCTGGCTGCCGCCACAATGGCAGGAGTCAAGGTGGCTGAGAGAGGCCAGGCATGGTGGCTTGAGCCTGTAATCCCAGCACTTTGGGAGGCAGAGGAGGGTGGATCACTTGAGGTCAGGAGTTCGAGACCAGCCTGGCCAACATGGTAAAACCCCATCTCTTCCAAAAATACAAAAATTAGCCAGGTGTGGTGGCACATGCCTGTAATACCAGCTGCTCAGGAGGCTGAGTGAGGCAGGAGAATCTCTTGAACCTGAGGAAGCTGCAGTGAGCTGAGATTACCATACGGCACTCCAGCCTGGGCAACAGAATGAGACCCCGTCTCAAAAAAAAAAAAAACGTGGCTGAGAATATGTGAGATGGGACAGATGTATGGAGTGCAAGTAGATTTTCAGGGAGTGAACACATTTCCAAACCAATGTTTCAGCTGTTGGGAAGTTTCAGATAGTATGCAATTAAATTTTCCACAGATTTCAGGCCCTGAAAAAGCAACTTTAAAAAGGCTCTCTGTGGCCGGGCGTGGTGGCTCACACCTGTAATCCCAGTGCTTTGGGAGGCTGAGGCGGGTGGATCACGAGGTCAGGAGATCGAGACCATCCTGGCTAACACGGTGAAACCCCATCTCTACTAAAAATACAAAAAAGATTAGCTGGGCGTGGTGGCGGGCGCCTGTAGTCCCAGCTACTTGGGAGGCTGAGGCAGGAGAATGGCATGAACCCGGGAGGTGGAGCTTGCAGTGAGCTGAGATCGTACCACTGCACTGCAGCCTGGGCAACAGCGAGACTCTGTCTCAAAAAAAAAAAAAAAAAAGAAAAAGAAAAAGAAAAAGGCTCTCTGTGTGCAGCCAGCCTTCACTGGACCACGCAGATGGGACCCTCTAGGGTTACTGCTTGGCCTGCTCCACTGTGGACCACCAGCATCTCCTCTCTACCATGGTGGCCAACTGGAAGCCCTGTGGATACTGAACCATGCCACAGAAGCCATCAGACGCACGCCATGGGAAGAAATGGCAGGTGGGGACTCCGAGCAAGCCTGCACCAGCATCGAGGCAGAGTTTGCACTCCAGTCACTTGATGGTCATGTGGCCTTGGACAAATGATTCACTGTGTGAGGTCCAGGTTCCACATCTCTCAAACTGGGATCTTAACCCCCAGCAACCTCTTCATCCCAAAAGGCCATGCTGATGTGAAATATCTAACATGTATGGTGAGCACTTAATCAGAGCTGTACTTTACAAACCTCAGTTTATTGACATTCTAATCATTCAATTGGTATTTCTTAGGCACCACATACATAGGTTTTACCGCTTTTTTGAGACAGAGTTTCGCTCTTGTTGCCCAGGCTGGAGTGCAATGGCACGATCTCAGCTCACCACAACCTCCGCCTCCCAGGTTCAAGCGATTCTCCTGCCTCAGCCTCCCGAGTAGCTGGGATTACAGGCATGCGCCACCACGCCCAGCTAATTTTGTATTTTTAGTAGAGACGGGGTTTCTCCATGTTGGTCAAGCTGGTCTCAAACTCCCAACCTCAGGTGATCCACCTGCCTCAGCCTCCCAAAGTGCTGGGATTACAGGCATGACCACCACGCCCGGCCTTGTTTTACATTTATGGGAGCCTACAACATGCCCAGTTCCAAGTTCAAGAAGGAATGAGAGCTGCAGTTCTTGTGGTCCAACAGTTTTCCATTTAATGTCACACTGTAAATGACACCAATTGCACCCCAAGAGGCTCCCACTCTGCAATGTGAGCCAGCCGTGGCCCACAGCTGGAAGATCACATGTCATAGCTCTGCACGATCCAGGGGAGAAGGTGCTGCATGGACAGAACGAACTGGGGAACCAGTGCCACTAAGAGCAGAGCTTGAGCCCCCTGTTTACTCTCATAACCATCGGCTGTGGGCCAGACATTTGGCTCCTTTGCAGGCAGACCAGGCTTCTCGGTGAGTCATGCCGCTTAAAATGCTGTCTGGGAACGCAGAGAAACAGTCTAAACGCTGAGACGCTAAGGACGGCCCCGCAGGTGGACTGCCACGCCCGGCTCAGCCCCTTTTTGGTCCCCGGAGTGGAGAGTTCCCTTCTCCCCACAGAGGGGAGGCATCTGATGGTGGCTTCAGCAGACAATCTGGAGAAGGACCACTCAGGGTTTGTCTTGCTGACGTCCTATAGCCAGCAAAACCAGGGCAGGAGAACCCTGGCTTTTTAGGGCAGGTGGGGGAGAGGGCACCTTAGCAGGGAAGGAGCCAGGGTAATGCGAGAAGCAACCCACTCAGCAGGGCCACTCAGCAACCCCCTGGCGAGCAGAAAGGCGGCCCCCAACACACCTTCTGGGTGGGTGGACTGCTTTGAAGAGACGTAGAACATGAGGGAAAGGAACGGCGTTTTGGCAGCGGGGCTGGGTGGGTGTCCTGCTTCTGACAGATCTAGTGCTGAGGGCAGACGTGGTGCATGTCTCTAGGTTTTAACCACACACAAACCGGTCATGGAAATTTGAAAGATATTTATTTAAAAACAGAACAAAAAAGCTTTGGTATTTCAAAACCTGACAATCATCAATCACTAGAAAGTTAAACACCTCCCCTGAAGCCCCAAAGTACAAAACCACAGGTGTCCACAGGCTCATAAGAAAGGGCGTGCAAACCCGAGGATGACAGCGCAACCCGCACCCTCCTACAGGCAGCAGCACAGCCACCCTGGGGACCCCGGCCCAGCCTCAGGACCGTGGGGCCTCCAAAGGCTGAGATGGACATCACTGCCAGCACTCACCATCTACAGGGGATGCAAAAGCCATCTAGCAAAATCTCAACAAAAATAAATTAAAACTTCATCAAGAAAGAACACGATAAATTCGGAAAAGGACAGAACTTTCCCTAGACAAGAGTCTTTTCAAAAGACGGTCTATTTCCTGGGACAGAAGAAAGGGGGAAAGTGGAAGGAGTGAGTTCCATTTCAAGTATTTGCCATACAGGTTCGTTTTATTGAGTGGAAAGCTTACAAAAGGTCCACTGGCCCCTTCCCTCCCCACGTGACACTCGTTCCTTCCAATGCAAACTCTGGTGTATCCACATTCGCTTCTGCGTCACTGGTTTCCCCCAACAAGGCACAAAGGGCGGGTGCTTCCAAAGGATCCCTGGCAGCAGGACTTTCAGTGCTGGGTGTCTTGTGCAAATGGTGGCTGAAAGCAGGACTGTTAGTTCACTCAGACACTGGGATCTTCCTGTTCAATTCACAAAACAAGTGTGATTATTGTTCACTGCCAACCCCAGTGGCCAGCTACAGAAATAGCCTACGGAGACAACCCTAGTGGCACCACACCCTGGCTCTGACCCAGCCTTGCAGAATGACCACGGACTCAGTGGCCTGGGCCCTTCTGGAGCTGAGTGTTCACTGGCTCCGCTCTGTCATGACCCAGCTTGAGCCTGCGTCTGTTGAGAGATCGCTCAGCACCCCACGAAGGTAGTCTGGCTCATTTCCCCAACTGTGGGGGGGACCGAAGGTGCCCTCGAGAGCGAGGGCAGAGAAGCCACCGAGCAGCAGGGAAAAGCAGCAGCCTGCCAAACAGACAGCAAAACCCACACGATGCACATTTGGCGCCTGTCCTAGTGCAGCTAGTCCAGAGGCAGCTCACAAGGAAGGCCTCTGTGCGGTCCTTTTTGATCTGACTTTTGATCTGTTCTTCGAACTTGAGGAACTCAGCCCTGTCTCCCACTCTTCTGATCTTTCAGGTCAAGTTCTGCTTCCTTTTCCAAGTCCTGGTCTTGGGCCAGAAACTAGAAGCCGCAGGCATCCCTGTGGATGTGAGGGGGCACTTCCCATTTCTCCAGGGTGGGATCTGGGCTCTTTGACTACTTGGGAACATAGACGCAGAGCCTAATATATACCTCTCTACTGTCACTACAGTTTAAAAAGAGAAGACAATGGAGCAAAGAAGAGAAGAGAGGGGAGGGGAGGAAGAGTAGAGGGGAGGAGACAGGGGGATGAGGGAGGAGAGAAGAGGAAGGGAAAAAGCTCAGCTCTTTGGGAAACATTTTCTTCTACAACTGCTAACAAAGGCCTCCCCCTAGAATCCCTGCTGGTCTTTCTCCGGAGAAAGCACCGAAGGCCGGGCGGCAGGACACAGTAAGCAGCCTCGCCCCGTGACAGCAATGCTGATCCCAAGATGTCATCATCCCCGATGACAGTCTCGCAGCAATGACGGCCAAAATCACCGCTTCCAGGGGCAAACATGTCTCAGGAAACTGGAGGGGAATGCTTCTGTCCTGTGTCCTATGCTAAGGAGATGGCCACTCTGGTCCAAGGCCTGGAACAAGGGGCTGACCTCTGCATGCCATGAACAGGCATATGGGGGGAAGCTGGGGATCCCGCCAGCAGTTCAGACAGAGGTTTCAAGTCAATCTAGGGGCCTGTTGCAGTTATTTTTATTTTATTATTACTATTATTATTATTATTTTTTTTTGAGACAGAGTCTCACTCTGTCGCCCAGGTTGGAGTGCACTGGCATGATCTCGGGTCACTGCAACCTCTGCCTCCTGGGTTCAAGAAATTCTCCTGCCTCAGCCTCCTGAGTAGCTGGAATTACAGGCGTGCACCACCATGCCTGGCTAATTTTTTTTATTTTTAGTACAGACAGGGTTTCACCATGTTGGCCAGGCTTGAACTCCTGACCTCAGGTGATCCGCCTGCCTCAGCCTCCCCAAGTACTGGGATTATAGGCATGAGCCACTGCACCCAGCCTCGTTGTTATTTTTACATGGGGTCTCACTCTGTCACCTGGGATGGAGTGCAATGGTGTAATCACAGCTCACTGCAGCCTCAAACTCCAGGGCTCAAGTGATCCTCCCACCTCAGTCTCCTGAGTAGCTGAGACTACAAGTGTGCACCACCACACCTGGCTAATGTTTAAATTTTTTGTAGAGACAAGTCCTCGTTTTCCTGCCCAGGCTGGTCTCAAACTCCTGGGCTCAAAGGATCCTCCCACCTCGGCCTCCCAAAGTGTTGAGATTACAGGCATGAGCCACCAGACCCTGCCTCTAACTTTTTTTTTTTACTTTGATTTGCTTTTTTGTTTTGTTTTTTGCTTTTTTGAGACAGGGTCTTGCTTTGTTGCCCAAGCTAGAGTGCAGTGGCACAATCACAGTTCACTGCAGCCTCAAACTCCTGGGCTCAAGTGATCCTCCCATTTCAGCCTCCCAAGTAGCTGGGACTACAGGCACAAGCCACCACACCCGGCTTGCAGTTATTTTTAAATGCTGAGATTTATGATGGGGGAGGAGGGGAGAGCTGCCCTGGGAAGCCAGAAGACCATCAGTTCACACCTGGATTTCCACAGCTTTCCCTTCCTTGTCGTCTCCTCTCAAAACACTTGTACTCTCTCTCTGGTGTCAAGGGCTGAGGGCATCAGGACACCCATTCCTGCCCAGGCCTCACCCCCCCTCGCCAGGCCAGCCCCTTCCGAGACACAGGGCTGAGAGCAAGGCCGAGGTCTCGGGTTTCGACCAGACAGCGGCTTCCTACCTTACTCCTGAAGAGGGGCTTGGCTCCAGGCCCACAGTACTCGTTGTAGATGAGCTTGAAGAGGAAGAGGTGGAAGAGGGTGATGAGGGAGGCCACGCTGAACCAGAAGAGGAAGGGCAGCCCGGGGTCCTGCTGGGCCATGTGCTCATCATGGGCCAGAATGGCCTTGAGGTGCAGCGTGTGCCGCAGGTCCTGCAGGTGTGTGAGGTCGGTGGAGATGTAGAGCAGCGGCGTGATGGGCTGTGTCACCATGACCGAGAAGGTGTGGCCCGTGGGCGCCGAGGTCAGCTCCACTGGCTCGTCCAGGCAGCCCGCCTCGCAGGCATAGATCTTGACAGGCTGGCCACGGGACTCCACGGACACATGTAGGTAGGGCTTGCCCTCGGTGTCCGCCAGTACGGCCAGGTTGATATGGTCGTTCTTGTAGCGGATGCCATGCAATGCATAGCTGTTGTGCAGCACGTCGGGGTCGGCCTGGAACTGGAGGTGGTTCTCCGTGAACTGCAGCCCCCCAAAGCTGAGCACCATGCCCTGCAGGATGCCTGGGGCACCCACCTTCACCAGCCCCTTGCAGCCACGCTTCTGGAGGGTCAGCCTCCACAGGTCGGAGAGCTGCAGGATCTGTTGGACAGAGGACAGCCGTCCTGGCCACAGGTTCTCAGCGTGCATGGTGGCGTGGCCGCTGAAGCAGTGATCTTCATAGTTGAGCGTCGACTCCATCTGGTCTCGCTCCCTGTGGCTCAGGGAGGGGCTGAGCAGCGGGGCTGGCGAGCAGGAGAGCATGTAGTAGAGTGTCAGGTTCACGGTCAGGCCAGACGGCGTGTGGGTATCAGTGATCTTCTTCATTTCCACTCCTGCAACACCATGAAAGCTGCACGTTAAGGGGGAAGGACAGCTGGGAGGCAGAGCATATGAAATAAAGACCAAGGGCAGCAGAGGAGTGAGGTGTGCCTTAGTGATAAAGATAGCGGTGCCCGTCTCCCTAAAGTATGGGAGAAAGTCACCTGTCTTATTTACACAACCAACTTGAGCCTGTGGGCCTGACATCTAGAATCCTGTTAAAAAGCAGTGGGGCCTGGTGCCAGAGCCCAGAGGAACACAGATTTAGCCAGGACTTGGTGCCAACCCTATGATCAGACCTCCTGCGCTAGATCAGTCACCAGTGATGAGGCCAGTCTCAGGCCACTTCTCCTCTCTGTCCTTTCTCTCTCCAGTCCTGTAGCTTTATGTATGTATTTAGTTATTTACTGAGACAGAGTCTTACTCTGTCGCCCAGGCTTGAGTGCAGTGGCACGATCTCAGCTTACTACAGCCTCCGCCTCCCAGGTTCAAGTGATTCTCCTGTCTCAGCCTCTGAGTAGCTGTGACTACAGGTGCAGGCCACCACCCATGCATAAAACAGCCCTGGCAGAAGCATTCAATAGATACTTGCTGAATAAACACGTGTTGGGCCCCTTTGCTACTGATGGATTCAACAGCCCTAAGATTTAAAAACATATACACACACAACATTGTTTTGTAAAGGTGACTATCCTCTTGCCCGGCGCAGTGGCACACACCTGTAATCCCAGCACTTTGGGAGGCCAAGGTGGACGGATCGCGCGAGGTCAGGCTAAGTTCTGTATTTTTAGTAGAGACAAGGTTTCACCGCATTGGCCAGGTTGGTCTTGAACTCCTGATCTCAGGTGATCCACCTGCCTCAGCCTCCCAAAGTGCTGGGATTACAGGCATGAGCCACTGCGCCCAGCCAGCACGTTCTAGCCTAAAAAACTGTCTTATTTTAATTTTAATTTTCACTTTTCTAATGTCTACCTTCCTCCCAACCAGAATTTAAGCAAGCACCATGAGAACAGGTACTCTGGTTCCCATCTGCACCCCCCATGCATAGAACAGCCCTGGCAGAAGCATTCAGTAGATACTTGCTGAATGAACTCAACTCTCTGAGCAACCAAACACAAGGGTTCAGACAATAGGAGCCCTGGAAACCAAAACCCCTCTCTCATCCAGAACAGGATTTTCTTTTCTTTAACAGTCAACAGAGAGGAGAGTTTGCATTGGGCGGGAGCATCTCAACCTGCTGAAAGAAGGCATTCTCCAACCTCCCTGTGAACCAGTTGCAGCCACAAATGCCAGGACGCACTTCAGCCTAGCAGGGGTTATGTCAAGAAGCCCACATCTGTCACCAGGCCGACTGCAGAGCTGAGCAAAGAATCAGGGGATCCACCTGCTGGTTTCACCTCTGCAAACTGACTCTAAAACACTTTACTCTGTTCAAATCAGGCCCCACCTACCAGAACAAATAACAGAAAGACCCGACCTTTACACTCAAATTTCCACTACAGTCTCATAAAAACCTTCTGAGGTAGGTGTTATTGTTATTAAATACAGGCCCAGAGAGATTAGGCGACGAATCCCAAGGTCGCACAGACACTAGGCGGTTGAGCAGAGATTCAACCTCTGGTGAAACGCCAAGCCCAAGTTTTAACCACCCCACCATCACCTTCAGTGTCACCTCTGCAGATTTTGGAGGGACATATCTAGGGTGGACCAAGTGCTGACTAGGACTCACCTGGGCTGAAGAGCTGAGCCCAGAGGAGCTGGTGGTCTTGAAGAAGCTCCGCGGCTGGCATCTCCAAGAGCTCCAGCATTTCCTTCCGGGCCAAGTCCTGCAGCGCCTTGAGCTCCTTGGCTGCTTTGCTTTTGAGCACCTGGGAGTTAATGGGGCCAGAGACGTGCACCACCCACAGCACCGTCTCATCCAGCTGCGTCTTGGGAGCCACTTGGAGGCGGTCCACTAGCTTCTTGGCGGCCACCACCACCAGGTGCACCAACCCAGTGGGCGTAGGCGGGGACCGGCCTGAGTAGAGGAGGAATTGATGGTCTCCGACCTTCTCTAGGGTACTGGTGAAGGCCTTGGGGGCTGGGCCGGCAGTGGGCCCCACAGTCTGCAGCGCGGCCACGCGCTCCGTGGGGTTGTTGAGCTGGATGCGCTGCAGGTAGACGTGGGGTCGGCCCCGGTGCGCCAGAAAGTCCTCTTGCAGGAGCACGCAGTCGCGGCCGGACCCCGCGGCAAGGCCAGAGACGGAGGCGGGCCCAGGGCCGGCGGCCACGGGGCCAGGACCTGGGGACCCGAGCTGCAGGCAACGCACGCGGCGCAGCAGCCCCTCCCGCAGCAGCAGCACCGCCTCTCCAGCTTCAGCCAGCGCGCTCAGGGGGCGCAGCTGCACAAAGGGCACGAAGTCCGGCGCCACGGCGGGCTCTCGCTCCCCAGGGGTCACCCACAACCGGTTGGCGGCCACGTCCAGAGCCAGGAAGCCGTTGGCCACCAGGGCCGGCACTCCAGGGCCCAGCGGTACCGCCTCGCCGCGCTCCCGCAGGCCGCGCCAGGCGCGGGTGGCCGCCTCCAGGCAGGCAGACGGCTCGGCGGCGCCCGGTTCACCGCGGTACCAGGGAAGCAGGTGCAGGCCGCCCGCCGCCCGCCGCGCGCCGGACCCCCCAAACCACAAAAGCAGCAGCAGGAGGCCGAGCAGGCAGAGGAGGCGGCGGGCCCAGCTGCTCGACAGCAGTCCCGGCAGCCCCTTGAGCCGCTGCTGCAGCCACATCGGGCCGCCAGGCGCGGGCAAGGGTGCGGGGGCGGCCGCCGGGCCCGCCGCCCAGCCCACCGGCCCGGCCGCCCGCGCCTCACTGCCCGGCCCGGACCGCGGCGCCCACCCCGGCCCCCGCTGCAACCGCCGCAGCAGCCGCCACCGCTGCTTCCTCCTTCTTCTCGGTGGCCTCCAGCCGTCAAACGCCGCCGGCCGTCAAGCGTCGCCGTGTCTTTTACGACAGATGGAAAACGGGAGGGCGGAGGGAGGAGAGAGAGGCGGGCCAGAGAGAAGGGGCGGAGCCACGGCGGGGGCGGGACAGAAGCTGCCGGGGGCCGGGCCACCGGTTCCCAGGCCCGAAGAGTGAAGTCCAGTAGAGTTAAGTGCAGGGGTCTGGGGAGGACTGGAAGCATCCAATTCACTCGTGAAAAAAACATCGACCCTGCCAAACCGAACACGTGTTGGGCCCCTTTGCTACTAATGGATTCAACAGCCCCAAGATTTAAAAAAACACACACACAACTTTGTTGCTGTAAAAATGACTATCCTCTCGCCGGGCGCGGCGATTCACTACTGTAATCCCAACACTTTGGGAGGCCAAGGCGGGCGGATCACGAGGTCAGGGGCTCGAGACCAGCCTGACCAATATGGTGAAACCCCGTATCTACTAAAAATACAAAAACTAGCCGGGGGTGGTGGCGCATGCCTGTAATCCCTGCTCCTCAGGAGGCTGAGGTAGGAGAACTGCTTGTACCCGGGAGGCGGAGGTTGCAAGGTTGCAGTGAGCCGAGATCATGCCACTGCACTCCAGCCTGGGCGACAGAGCGAGACTCCGTCTCAAAAAAAAAAAAAAAAAGAGAGAGAGAGAAGAAGAGGAAGAAGAAGAAACGAAAAGGGAGGAGGAGGGGAAGGGGAGTCATCAGAGGCCAGGAGTGGTGGCTCACATCTGTAATTCCAGCACTTTCGGAGGCCGAGAGGTCAGGAGTTCAAAACCAGCCTGACCAACATGGTGAAAACCTGTCTCTACTAAAAATACAAAAATTAGGCTGGGCGCGGTGGCTCACGCCTGTAATCCCAGCACTTTGGGAGGCCGAGGCGGGAGAATCACGAGGTCAGGAGATCGAGACCATCCTGGCTAACACAATGAAATCCTGTCTCTACTAAAAATATAAAAAATTAGTCAGTCACGCCTGTAATCCCAGCACTTTGGGAGGCCGAGGTGGGCGGATCACAAGGTCAGGAGATAGAGACCACGGTGAAACCCCATCTCTACTAAAAATACAAAAAATTAGCTGGGCACGGTGGCGGGTGCCTGTAGTCCCTGCTACTCGGGAGGCTGAGGAAGGAGAATGGCGTGAACTCGGGAGGCGGAGCTTGCAGTGAGCCGAGATTGCGCCACCGCACTCCAGCCTGGGCGACAGACCGAGACTCCGTCTCAAAAAAAAAAAATTAAAAAAAAAAAAAAAATAAATAAATAAAAATGCAAAAATTAGCTGGGTATGGTGGCAGGCACCTGTTATCCCAGCTACTTGAGAAACTGAGGCACGAGAATCGCCTGAACCAGGGAGGCAGAGGTTGCAGTGAACTGAGATCGTGCCACTGCACTCCAGCCTGGGCAACTAAGAGAGACTCAGTCTCAAAAAAAAAAAACCAAAAAACCCCCCAAAAAACCAAACAAACAGCAAAAAAAAAAAAACTAACCACCAGAAACCAGACTTCCCAAAAAATATTTTGTTAACAGACCTGTCTAGCTGCATGTACACCATATGCGGACACAAATCCAGCCAAGGGCCGTCAATGTCTCCACCACACCAGATTGTCTTCTTGATGTCAGCCCTAAGTTTTAACTTATTAAATAACGTAAGACACCAAAGTCTTATACTTTGATAATACCTTTAAATTGTGAATCATCGATGCAAAAGAGAAATTTTGCTTTGTATCCTGGGGAAAAAATTCAGTATAAGCACAGAGGCAGACAATGGGTGATTGTTTCCACTTTGGTTTCAGTACATTCCAAAGCCAGACAGTGCTTCCCAGTTGTTGGAAATTAAACGGTCATTTGAGGTGGCCTCTGGTGGGTTGTGAGCAGACGCAGAAATGTTTGCTGAGGCCAGTGCCCTTTAGAAGGAGCTGTCCAGGTGATCCTACAGTCTGCCTACCATTTTTACTTTATTTATTTTTATTTTTCATTTTTTTGAGACAAGAGTCACACTTTGTCCCCCCAGCTAGAGTGCAGTGGTGCGATCTCAGCTCACTGCAACCTCTGCCTCCTAGGTTCAAGCATTTCTCATGCCTCAGCCTCCCGAGTAGCTGGTATTACAGGCACCTGCCACCACGCCTGGCTACTTTTTGTATTTTTAGTAGAGATGGAGTTTCACAATGTTGGCCAGGCTGGTCTTGAACTCTTTACTTGTGATCCGCCCACTGTGGCCTCCCAAAGTTCCGAGATTACAGGTGTGAGCCACCGCGCCCAGCCCTATTTATTTATTTATTTATTTATTTAGAGGGAGGGTCTCACTCTGTTGCCCAGGCTGGAGTGCAGTGGTGCAATCACAGCTCACTGCAACCTCCATCTCCCAGGCTTATGTGATCCTCCCACCTCAGCCTCCCGAGTAGCTAGAACTATAGGCCCTCACCATTATGCCCAGCTAATTTTTTTTTTTTTTTTTGGTATTTTTTGGAGAGGCAGGTTTTTGCCATGTTGCCCAGGCTGGTCTTGAGCTTCTGAACTCAAGCAATCCTCCCACCTTGGCCTCCCAGAGTGCTGGGATTATAGGTGTGGGCCACCACACTCAGCCTTCTTTATTTATTTTTTATCAATTTTTATTTTAGGTTCAAGGGGTACATGTGCAGGTTTATTACAAGGGGATATTGTGTGATGCTGAGGTTTAGGCTTTTTTTTTTTTTTTTTTTTTTTTGGGGTGGGGGTTTCACTTTTTTTGCCCAGGCTAGAGTGAAATAGCACGATCTCAGTTCACCACAACCTCCGCCTCCCAGGTTCAAGTGATTCTCCTGCCTCAGCCTCCCAAGTAGCTGGGATTACAGGCATGCACCACCACGCCTGGCTAATTTTTTTGTATTTTTAGTAGAGACGGGGTTTCTCCATATTGGTCAGGCTGGTCTCGAACTCCTGACCTCAGATGACCTACCTGCCTCAGCCTTCCAAAGTGCTGGGATTACAGGTGTGAGCCACCGTGCCCAGCCTTGAGGTACTGCACTCCAGCCTGGGTGACAGAGCGAGAGACTGTCTCAAAAAAAAAAAAAAAAAGAGGACATTTTATTATTATTTATTTTTACTATTATTATTACTAGGGAGGCTAAGTGCTAGTGAGAGGTGATCGCCCATCTAGCAGCACAGAATATGGCCATCCTACTGAGGCCCTTGCTCTTCCTGGGGCCAAAAAAGGAAATGAGTAAAAGAAAAGGATGAAAATGAGAAAAGCCCCTCATGGCACCGGGCAGCTGCCCTCCAGACCAGCTATCCTTTCTACACCTTCCCTAGAAAGCTGAGTCCTGCGCCTTTAATTGTCCGCAGCACGTGCAGCACGTACCAGAAGTAACATCTGGACGGCAGCCACCACTGGTTAAAGAGACAGGTCCTCTTTCTCCATGAAGCTTGGGAAGGGTTCAAGTTTCAGCAATTTGGTGAAGGGAACAGGAAATAGATACCAAAGGAGGGGAGGGCAGGCTTTGCCAGAGTGAATCCTTTCTCCCAGAGAGGCCAGCAGCCTCCAAGATTGATTCCCCCTCCTGACTTAAAATGACTTTGGGCCATGGGACTCCCACTGTCCAAGGGTTTTTTTCTTTTCCTTTTTTTTTTTTTTTTTTTTGAGACGGAGTCTTGCTCTGTCGCCCAGGCTGGAGTGCAGTGGCCGGATCTCAGCTCACTGCAAGCTCTGCCTGCTGGGTTCACGCCATTCTCCTGCCTCAGCCTCCGGAGTAGCTGGGACTACAGGGGCCCGCCACCTCGCCCGGCTAGTTTTTTGTATTTTTTAGTAGAGACGGGGTTTCACCATGTTAGCCAGGATGGTCTTGATCTCCTGATCTCTTGATCCGCCCGTCTCGGCCTCCCAAAGTGCTGGGATTACAGGCTTGAGCCACCGCGCCCAGCCTCTTTTCCTTTTTTTATGAGACAGAACTCAGGCAGAAGTACAGTGGTACAATCACGGCTCACTGCAGCTTCAACCTCTTAGGCTCAGGTGATCCTGCCACTTCAGCCTCCTGAGAAGCTGAGATTACAGGCGTATGTCACCACGCCCTCCTAATTTTTTTTGTGGAGACAGGAGGTGGGTGGGGGTGGGGCAACGGGTCTTACTATGTTGCCCAGGCTGGTCTTGAACTCCTGGTCTCAAACGATCCTCCCACTTCGGCCTCCCAAAGTGTTGGGATTACAGGCGTGAGTCATGGCACCTGGCCTCAAGGTTTTTTTGTTTTTTGTTTTTTTTTCTATTTATAGTACATTACCATTGAGGTTCTCCTTGGACTACAGCAAATGGAGAGTTAGAGCTGGGTTCCAATGCTGCCTCCTTTGCTGTAGTTCTGCATCAGTTGTGTGGCGTCGAGCAGATTGCTTCACTTCTCTGGGTCTGTTTTCTCATTTTGCAGATGGGACAATACTGCTTAATTAGCAAGGCTGCTGTGAGCAGGGAATGAGGGAGAGTTTTGAAAATTGAAACAGGGCCAGGTGCATTGGCTCACATGTGTAATCCCAGCACTTCGGGAGGCTGAGGAAGGAGGATGTCTTAAGCTCAGGAGTTTGAGACCAGTCTGGCCAACATGGTGAAACCCTGCCTCAAAAAAAAAAAAAAAAAAAAATTAGCCAGGCAAGGTGCACGCCTGTAGTCCCAGCTACTCAGAAGGCTAAGGTGGGAGAATCACCTGAGCCCAGGAAGTTAAGGCTGCAGTAGGCCATAATCACATCACTGCACTCCAGCCTAGGCAACAAAGTGAGATCCTGTCTCAAAAAAATAAAAAATTGAACCAGCCAATACATGCTCCTTCTCCTTCCTCTGCTCCTCCTGGCATTTCCTCTTCCTCCAGGGTCTGGAGTCTGAGTCTGCATCCTCCTGAATCCAAAACATCCGGTGGATTCTGGCACCAAGTCCTGTCTCCAGATGCTGTAACTCCCAGTCCTGGGTCCCAGCTGGGAGGTAGAGGCCCTGGATTCCGCTCACGTCTCTTCCTTTTACTTGCCTTGTGACCTTGAGCTTGCTGCCCAGTGCTTCTGGATATCGCTTGTACTATCTGTACAATGAGCACATCTCCATACAATGAGATGATTTTCACGGTTCCCAGTGACTG